TCACCTTCTGGTATAATAATAATAAATCAACCTATTTACCTTCATGATTCTGTAATTTATTATATTTTTAACTGGTTTAATTTTTAATTTTTTTCTTCGCTTGATCACTATTGTCATCTGAATAATTTGATCATTGCTTGCATTTCAATTGTTTTGATTTTTTTGAATTTTCAGATTCACATTTATTACAGTACTAGTATTCAACAGGTATTCTTGCAAAAAGAGGTTTTAGACACCTAGTATGAAAGTTTTTACTACAATATCCATCACACAAGAGAATATGTCCTCTAACACCTTTCCACTTGCATATAGAACAACTACAAATTTTACAAAATTCTTTTTTAAGCCTATAGCATTTGTCACATTCTGACCATCCTGGTGAATCATTATCACTATCGCTAAGACTTTCATGCTGTGTTTTAAATTAAGTTTTTATAGCAATTTTACCATTACAATTTTACCATTACCCGAGTTAGTAAATTTATGATTATGTTTGATTTGAATGAGTAACAATTGAAGCAAAAATCAGCTGAACCTGAATATTAGTAGTGTATTTATTACTAGGTATGTTTGCATTTTCAATGTTGCCAGCTTGCTGTTTGAACATTCCAGAGACAACATTAATTAATTTATCTATGCCTTGGTTATCTTTAGTATTGTCATTAATGCTTTTATTATGTGGTTGAAATTTTGAAGCATTCTTATATTTTTCATTGGAGCAGTAAGTTCATTTACTATTTTTCTAAAAATTTCTCTCTTATAATAATTGCTCTTGGTGCTTCTAAATTTATAGTAATGTTGGTGCTGTTATCTAGGGAAATGGTCACCAAGTACAATTGGCTATTAAAAGTAATGGTCACAACTTGACCTTGGGTTGCTTCCCAAATAAGATTGACTGAATTTCTTATTATTTCTTCATTATTTGTTACAATTTCAACCATTATTCTTTAATATCACAGTAGCCAAAGATGTTGTTTTTTTAAGAAAATAAAATGAATTTGAGAGTATGTATTTACAAATATGAGTATTGGCAGAAAAGCTTGTAAAATTTTTAGGTTTTTCACTATGTACTTATATAAATACGTAATGACATCATTGTAAATTTTTGTTAGAATATAATGACAAATTTTGTGATTTATATTTTTACATTGATTGACAACTAAATAAAAATTTTGACTAGTAGCTTATCAATAAATAATATAATAAATACATAGTAATTATATTATCTAGTCGAAAGTTATATATTAAAAAAAAATTCTGCGAATAAGTTAAATTCTCGTAACTTTATAGTTGCATACAATGTTTATTATAGCTTATCGTTTGATACTAGTGTGTAAAAAGACAGTGATTAAAAAGTATATAATCTAATACCTGTGTGTAAAATGTATATATTACTTTTTAATATACTAATTAATAAAATTTTCTTGTACTTACTTTTAACGATTTTTCCCTTTTGAATTAATCTGTAATATTGATTTAGTTGATTCTTTGAAAAGTTTATTTTAAATATCATGTTTTGAAAGTATTTTTTATAATATATCAAATATTATATAGATTAGTAGATTTAAATCATAAAGGCATGAGGCTTTTTAATTAACTGACTAATCATATAACTTATTTCAACATCTACTGATGCTGAAATACTATGATATGTATTAATCTGGTAATGGGCTTTTAGCTTTCATTGCATCAGATATTACACAGGTATAAAAAGTTATGTGTAGCTAGCAATTATTATTAAATCATTACTTTATTATTCGAGAACTATTCGATAGTTAAAATAATATGTATAGTCAATTAAATAACTTTAGTTTATAATCATTATTTCAAAAACTGTCCAGAAAACAAATGCAGAAAATGTTATAGATTGGGGTACATTGCAGCAATTGACTATAAAAATGCAGAATGAAGAACATGTCATAGTCATTATTTCAGTAGTTGCCTAAATAATGAATATAAAAAAATCTTATGAAATGGGCATATTAAAATAGACTATCAAAAAAATGTAAACATACCAACAAAAATTACTATACAAGTGCAAGTGCCAATGCAGCAAAGAAGAAATTGAAGAAAAATAGCAATATTATTAAAAGAAGAACCAGTTATTGTTGCAGTTACAAAGAGCCACAAAGGCCAAAGAAATTAAGGAACTTGAATAGATTTATGTAAAATATTTTACTAGGATTTTCACGAAAGAATTCTTGATGAAATTGCTTCACAATGAATTGAATATTTTACTACTAGAGAAGGAAAGAGGCCACTAGTAAGTTGACAAATGAGCAAAAAAGTATAATCATGGCATAATATATATAACTTAGAATGCAACCCTCTGCTTACACGAATACCAGCTAGAAATTGATACTGTAAAAAATGTGAAAATGTGGATTCAAAGAAATCAAAACATAAAGTGCAACTTGATTAATCAAAATATAAAAAAATAAAAGATTGAAGTCAAAAAGTGACAAGAAATATAAAGCACAACAGAATACTTTGGATTCTGATAATGAAGATAGTCAAAATATAAGAAATTTTTTAAAAAAAGACAACAAATTGGTTCTGTAAATTCAAGCATGTGTATGTATGGAAAGCAAGTGAAAACATAAATACAATAAGAGTACAAAAAGCCAGTACGATTTTAATAAAATGAGATTTATGTGATAGCCCTCTTATTTATTTCTCAATCAATCATATTAAAGCACTGTCAAAAAAAATATTTTTTAAAAATATATTTACAGGTAAATTTGACTAGAGAATGTTGAATGATTCATAGAAAAATATACATTTGAATTTATTTTATAGATAAAGCATTAAGGGTTTAGCTATATTTCTGTATTCTGAGATTAGATATTTTTAAATAAATTTTTTGGTTATTTGTATACAGTTCAATCATCATATTCTTCTTGATAAATAAAAACTTGTTATATTATATATTTAGTTTTATTGAAAAACAAATTTCACTTCATTCAAATTAGTTTCAAATTGTTTGCTAATAATTTCTATATTACTCGATTTGAATTGTAGGATAATATTAAAAAATTCAAAATTATATTACAAATTGATATAAGGGTAAGAACCTTGAGTTTTTTAAATGCATTTACTAAAAAATTTTTTAATAATAAAAATTTTACAAAATATTGAATTTTCCAATATAAAAGAGTTGCTTCCCAAATAAGATTGACCGAATTTCTCATAATTTATTCATCATTTTCTACAATATCAACAATTATTCTTTAATATTACAGTAGCCAAAGACATTTTTAAGAAGGTAAAATGTATTAGAGAGTGGGATTTTGTATGTATTTACAAATATAAGTAAAAATATATATATTACTTTTTTAATACACTGATTAATAAAATTTTCTTGTATTTTCTTTTAACGATATTAATTTAAATACAGTTTATAAAGATATTCTTTTTCCTTTTTAATTAATTTGTAATATTGATTTAGTTGATTCTTTGAAAATTTCATTTTAAATACCATGGTTTAAAGTATTTTTTATAACATGCGAATATTATATAGATTAGTAGATTTAAATCAAAAAAGCATGAGGCTTTTTAATATCGATACATAACTGACTAATTAACTGACTAATCATATAACTTATTTCAGCATACAATGTACACATTTTTTTGATAATATAAACTTAGATTTAAACTTAGTCAAAAATGTCTGTTGAATAATAAACAAAACCTTTTATTGAATTTCTCAACTAGATAAGAAAACTTAAGATCAAAAAATAAATGTGATTAGTAGATTAAATAATTTTTAATATCAATACTTAACCGTTTAATCATATGACTTATTTCCGTATCCATTAATGCTGAAATATTATGACGTGTATTTAATACATAGTATGATTGCATCAGATCAATTATCAGATCAATTAGATTAAAGAGAATTCTCATATGCTTATACTCGCTTATACTCGCTTATACTTTTATATTCAATCACAATAATTTTGTAGATTATAGAAATATAATATATAGTAACTTAAAATTATAGAACTAATTAAACACAGTCTGACCAATAAAAAAATATTTTTTTAACCAAAATAGGAATTATGTTTTCATCAATCTGATCAATAGAAAGTTCTTTTAAATAATACTGTATTTTTATCTACCAGTTAGAGTATTCAAACTAAAACTGTACACATATAATTAATAGCTACATACCTGCAACAAGCTCCATATATCTTTCACGTGTTCCTGTAGCTAATAGCAGGATCTGAGTTAACAGTTTTGAAGACTTGCTACTAGTGATAGATATCTGAGAGAAACAAATGGAGCCTGTTGCTAGTAGTATATTTTCATATTAATTATTTATATAGTTTCAGTATTTTTGAGTAATCCTACATATTATCTCCAAGAGGATTATTTCAAGATGCAAGCAAAGTCAATAACAAATTAATCTACTAATATAGTTAACTGAAATGAAACCTGGTCTACTGTACAATGTTGCAAATTAAAATTGTATCATAAGTTATGTTGAATTCAAATTCTTATAAATACAAAATTTATTTTAATATCTCAATGTATTTTAAAACATATTTTATGACAAAGATAAATTATTTCAAATATCGATCTAAGGCTTGCAAATAATTTGATTACTAAAAGGCAAATCATAATAAGCAAATCATTCAAAGTTTCTTGGCTACAAACCAAAATACAAATATAATTTTAATTTTATTAATGCATATTTTTTCTACATAATTATATTTGAAATTTTACAGGTTTTTTTAATATATGAGGTAAATTAATAAAAATCAAAAAAATTTTAAAAAATATTAAATCAAAAATTAATAAAAAATTTTATAAATAATTAAATATTATAGTTATTATTATTAATTGAATAACCAATATTTAGCTTTTTCTTTTAGCAACCTTCAAATACCTTAAGAGAATTCAGAATTCTTGAATTTTGATCATCTATTGTATCTGTTGAAGCAGGTTAATATTATAAATTAATCTAAATATTCATTTTCTATTAAGTTATACTTGCCACATGTAATCGAAGTACCATTTTTCTGCACACAAGAAAGCACAACACACACCAAATTATTGCTATATAGCATAATTAACTATGTGTCTTTTTGTATGCATAGAGTAAAATTCTTCTCTATACAAGCTTGGTCGCAATATTACAAGGTGTATTTCTTGTAAAATCTTTAAAATTTTTTTGAAGTGCTTGAGCATCCTGTGTATTCTTTTTGTAAAAGCATTGATTATTATCAGATATAGCTATATTAACAAAAAAAACTATAAAATAACAGCAATAAAAAGTTTAATAATATATGTTCGCATTTTTTTTGAAAATTTATTCTTCAAAAATAGGCAAAAAAAATTTATTTGTCATAGTACATTCAAGTTTTTCTCTTAAATAGTATTAGTATTAATAAAAAAATAAAATTAGAATTTTGCATTAACGCAAAAATTAAATTATTCACAATACCTATTTTGCAAATGCAAGATCTATTATTTTAAATTAAAATTTCAATAAATTATTCTTTAAAAATAGGCAAAAAAAATTTATTTGTTATAGTATATTCAAGTTTTTCTCTTAAATAGTGTTAGTGTTAATAAGAAAATAAAATTAAATTGAAATTTTGTATTAATGCAAAAATTAAATCCTTCACAATACCTATTTTGCAAATGCAAGATCCATTATTTTAAATTAAAATTTCAATAAATTATAAATAATAGCATATCCCTTTACAATAAATATAATTTTTAAAATGGCAATAATTCAATTTATAAATTTATTAAGTATAAACCTCAATAACAATTTCAATTAGTGAACTTTTCAGACTGTTATTTTTTTTAGAAAAACACTATAAGAATCAAATATTTACCTGTCATTTAACACAATGTACTTTTTAACAAACACAACTCAAAGTAATCAGACAACAATTAAAATCACTATATATGATTTAAAAAAATATGG